CTCCCCAGCACACGCTAACCCCCAGCACATGCTAACAACCTCCCTCCCCAGCACACGCTAACCCCCAGCACATGCTAACAACCTCCAGCACCAGCACACGCTAACCCCCCTTTCTCCAGTGCAGGCATAGCTCTGCCACCTGATTCCCAGCCTCCCCCTCCACCCCGGTGCTAATCCCTAGACCCCGCTCCCCTCCAGCGCCGGGAATCGAACCCAGGCGTCCTGACTGTCTGCTCATTTCACAAATGGCCGGCGGGTGGGGACGCCTCGGGGAAGGGCTCCACCCTCAGTCCCTGCGTCGGCACAGCCACCCTGGGGCCCCGTACCCCGGCCTCCTCCTGCCGGGATCCCAGGAGACAGCTCTTGGCAGGTCGCTCTCCTGGCCCAGAACAGCGGTGCCAGCACCCAGCCTGTTCCTCGCTGGTTATGTAACCGCAGCCCCAGCGCCCAGAGGGCAGGGCCGTGCACCCAGCCCGGCAAGGCCCTGCCTGTCTCAGCCCCGGCTCCAGGCCCAGCCCTGGCAGGGAGCGCAGGGTGCACGGCACCGGCCCGTGGAGCTGCTCACGCCCATGGGGCTGACCCCGAGGTGCCCCCAAGCAGCCAGGATGCCGCATGTCCCTGGGCGCCAGCCAGGCTGGTTCCAGGCCAGGGGTGTCTGCGCAGCTCTGCGCCCTCCGGCCTCTGCCAGCGATTAACCAGAAGCCACAGGGGCCACCAGGGGCTGGCCTGTAGGAGCTGGGAGAGCCAGAAACCTCTCTGGGGAGCCTGCACCCACGGGACCAGCGAGGGTGGGAAGGGTCGGATACAGCTTCAGAGCAGGGCCGAACCCAGGTGCCCCCGTGGGACGGGTGGGTCTTTGTCCATCCCCAGCGCTGCCATCCCAGGAGCCTCTTCCCAGACTTCCGCTTTGGAGACCACAATGTGTAGGCTGGCTGGCCCTTTAAAGGGGGCTGGGCTCGCTGTTGGCCCCAGCTGGCTGGGATCAGAGGGGTGATGGCCCTGGAGTTTGAGTAGAGGAACCACAGAGAGCAGGTGGGCTGGGTATGGCCCCGAGGGAGTGGTTGTAGCTGGCTGTCAGGGGCTCCGGGAAGGTGCCTGGGACGCAGGGCTCTATTCTGGAGACGGCGAGGTAATGCTGAGGGGACTGGCCGAAGGGAGCCCAGGTGGGGTGAATGCAGCCTGGGTTTTGTTTGGAGATTTGTTACCCTGGAAGGGGACTGAATTGTGAATGAGGCAGCTGGAGGAGTGAGCCCGAGAGACAGGGAGTGTCTGCAGTGCCACGCTCAGCCATGCCCTGTGGCACCCACCTCAAGCCGGGAAGGGAGGGGGCAGATCGTGGTAGGTGGCACAGGCCGGGAGGGTGGGTTCTGCGACTGCAGGAACTGGGGCAATTCCCAATGTGGGCCAGGCCATGGAGGGGTCACTCCAGGCTGAGCTGCTCCCCAAATCTGGGGGGACTCGCTAGGTGACATCAGAGGCAGCAAGGCCCAGTGGTGAGGGCCCTGGCCTGGGTGTCTGAACACCTGGGTTCTACTCCTGACTTGCTGTGGGACCTTGGGCCTGTCCCTTCCCCTCTGGTCCTCTCCCACCCTTGTCTTGTCTATTCAGCTTGTAAACTGTGGGGCAGGGACGGTGCTAGGCGCTGCACATGCACACCGTGGGGCCCTGATCTCGGCTGGGGCTTGTCAGCCCCGCTGTACGAGCGGAGGGAGCGTGCTGACGGGCAGGTTTGCATTGCTCACCTCATGCTGTGGTTACAGCGAGAGCAGATCACAGCCCCGTTCTGGGAGCAAAAAACACGCGCGCGAAACCACCAGCTGTTTCTGGGAACTCGACGCTGAGCTAGGGTCGCGTTTCAGAGACAGCCACCCACGCACCTTTCCCTGGGGCCACCCAGCGCGCTGGCTGGGGAGCAGAATCCAGCTGCCTTTCTAAGGGACCCAAGACCCAGCGAGGCGCTTTCAGAAAAAACCCAGAGCGGCTGCGAGCTTCTGTTTCCACCCACATGCCCAGCGGGGAGGGGTGCGTTTGCCAGGAAGGCCCAGGTCTCGTGGGGTCCCCCAGCTGCCTGGTCAGGTGCCTGTTGCTAGCACCTCATCAAGAGCTGTGCCATTAGCTGGGGTTTATACTGGCACAAGGGGCCCCATGCCGAACGTGCTCGTTCCCCAGATGCCCAGCCTGCCTCACGTGCCCATGGCACCGTGCCGGCAACAGCCAGCGCCAGCCCAGCCCCTCCCGCTTGTCCCAGGGCCAGCGAGGGGGGATTCAGGAACAGCCCTGATGGGTCCCAGCACCTCTGGGTCACCAGTTCCGACCCGGCCTGAGTGAGGAACACGCCCAGGCCTCAGTCCGTCCAGTCCCTACAGCGACATGAAGGCCGAGCTCCCCCTCCTCCCTGGGGGGTGCTCCCCAGGCAGGCTGGGCTGGTGCCCCTCCACACGCCGCCCCGCCCCACCAGCCTTTGGAGGGCAGAGAGTGGGACCATCCAGAGGCCCTGCCAGTAGCAAGGGCTCCTTTCCCACTGCAGGGGGGCAGCTGGGCTCCTAGAACCAGCCCCCCCTGCCAACAGCACAGGGTCCCCCTTGCTCCGTTCCACCCCATGGTCAGCCCCACGGTCCCCTCAGCCCTGCGGTGTGTGCAGGGGGGTCCCTGTAGCGTCACTTCTCCCTCCTGCCGCTGCCGTCCCGGCACCACCTGAGTCTCTTTCCTGGTAAATGAGCCTGGCCTGGTTCGTGCAAAGGCCCCAGACAGGAAGCCGCGCTCTCTGGGGACCCAGCTGGGGCCCTGTGGTGGAGCCGTGTGGGCAGGATGCGGCCCCGAAATCAGCAGCTGCCCGGAAAGGGAGATGAGAAACAGCCTCAGCCCCGTTTCTCAGACACGCTCTGGTTAAGTCACTTCCTGCTCCGCTCAGCCCCAGCCGAGGCAGCAGGTTTCAAGTGCAGGCGCCGGGCAGGGCAGGGAGCCGGTGCCTGACGCAGGTACCCCCTGTCCGCGCTCTATGGACAGGCTGTTCTAGGGCCCTGGAAACCACTTTCTAGGCCACAGGAGACTGCAGGCCCCTGATCAGAAACGCCCCCCGCAGCCCCAAGGAGAATCACAGAATCTCAGGGCTGGAAGGGACCCCAGGAGGCATCTAGTCCAACCCCCTGCTCAACGCAGGACCAATTCCCAACTAAATCATCCCAGCCAGGGCTTTGCCAAGCCGGGCCTTAAAAACCTCTAAGGAAGGAGATTCCACCACCTCCCTAGGTAACCCATTCCAGTGCTTCACCACCCTCCGAGCGACAAAGTTTTTCCGAATATCCAACCTGGACCTCCCCCACTGCAACTTGAGACCGTGCCCTGCTCTGTAGAGGGTCCTGCCCCCGCCGACCCCACTGGCAGAACCAGGGAAGGGGCCCAGCCTGCAGCCTTCACACCGCAGAGCAAAGGGCGTGTATGGAAGGGGTGGGGCCGAGAGCAGCCGAGGGGTGAGGCAGTGTGGGGACCCCCCCGAGGAGCGAGGGGGCCCCGTTTGCCCAGGCTCATGGCGGCGAGGACCCCTGAGCTGAGCTGCCGCCCGGCACTCACCACTCCAGCACCAGCACGATCTCGGCGGGCGTCTCGTAGACCTCGTGCAGATCCACCACGTGGGGGCTGCGGGCGGCCAGCTCCAGCACGGCGATCTCGTTGATGATGTCGAGCCGGCAGTCCTCGCCCTTGCGCCGCTTCCGCAGGAACTTGGCTGCGAACTCCCGGCCCGTGGCCTTCTCCAGGCACTTCTTCACCACCGCGAACTTTCCCCTGCGGAGAGGAGCCATCAGGGAACTGAGCAGGGGCTGGCCCCGGCCCCTCCATCATCACACCCCCTCCCCATGCAGCACGGCCCCCCTGCCCGCCTTCCCATCTCTTCCCAGCCCCCCATGAACCCCTGAGCTGTGAGAGTCACAAGGTGCAGCTTCCGCGACTCCAGGGCCGGTACCCCCATTATCCACAGGCCCCCTGCTCCCTGGCCTGTCCCCCGTCCCCCTGCCAGGCGCGTGCCCTGCTGATTTGCACCCGGGGCAGGGAGTCACCAAGCAGGGGCAGGGGCAGCTCCCACCCTGCAGGGCAGGGAGGAGCCAGGATCCTAGGATCTCGCCGTGTAAACAGAGACGTTCCCTGGTGCCGTTTCCAGGAACCCCTCGCCTAATGGGAACCATGTGGCCCAGGCCCCAGGCTGAGCTCCTGAGCAAGCGGCAGCTGGGGGCACCCCAGAACCCCAGCACACAGCACCGCAACCACAGCCCCGAGGGGGGCGGGCACAGGCCCACGTGCGCTGCGCCCGCCAAGCCCCTGGAGTGCCTGGGGCAGCAGCCAGCAGGCGCTCGGAGATGTGCCAGCGCTTCCCCCACAGGCTGCTTTGTGCCACACATGTGGGTCCCGACCAACACGCACGGCTCCAGCCGCATCCAGACAGCAGCCGCCCCTCTTGCGAGCCGGAGCCCCCGGGATCGCAGCCACCTCCACCTCACCCCGACCCCCCAGCTCTGGCTCCAGCCACCCCTTGGCTGCAAGAGAGAGACGGGGCTTTACCCCCTCCTGGCACAGAGCGGCCCCCAGCGTGCAGCCCTTCACCCCTGCCAGCCTGCCCCACGCTGGGCCGTGCCGTGCCGTGCATCAGCCAGCGCCCGGCCTGAGCTTTCAGCGCACCCTGTCTCCCGCCCTGGTCTCGCATCGTTGGCCCCGAAGAAAAGCTGGACGAAGCTGGAGCAAATTGCTCCCAATTAGCAGGAGCCACCCAGGGAACCAGCCCTTGTCCCGCCCCACCGGGGCGTCAATCAGCGTCACAGGCCAGGCCACCGAGCCAGTCCCGACCTGTCGCACGCAGTCTCTGGGCCCTGTCCCAGCAAGGCCCTTTTAGGGAGTTGGCCCAGCAGCCAGGCAGCCCATCCCCTGCCGACGGGCTCCGGAGACAAGGGGCCTGGGTGAGGCTAGCGAGAGATGACAGGCCCCTCGCCCGGCGGCTCCCGTTTGCACCATGGGATAGAACTGGAGAGCTGGCTCCCCACGAGCCAGTCGTAGCCCACCCCCAAGCCGCTCGGCTGTTCTCAGGGCGACCTCTGGCGACAGCCGCTTGGCCCCAGAAAGTTTGGAAATGGCCCCGACTCAGAACTTCGTGCCCAAAACCGAGAGATTCCAACAGCTTCTGGGTGGCTGCTTGTAAACAGGCAGGAAGGGAATTTGACGCTGGCTGGAAGATTCCCCCCACAACCCCTCAGTCCTGCCCGCACCCCCCTGCCAGCGCCCCTCAGTCCTGCCCGCACCCCCCTGCCAGCCCCTCAGTCCTGCCCGCACCCCCCTGCCAGCCCCTCAGTCCTGCCCACAGCCCCCTACCAACGCCCCTCAGTCCTGCCCGCAGCCCCCTGCCAGTGCCCCTCAGTCCTGCCCGCAGCCCCCTGCCAGCCCTGGACTCCCCACCCCCAGCTCTGCCAGGGCCCCTCAATCCTGACCCCACCCCCCTGCCAGCCCAGATCTAGGCTCCGCCCCGCCCCCAGCTCTGCCAGGGCCCCTCAGTCCTGCCCGCAGCCCCCTGCCAGCCGAGTCCTGGTGTCCTTTTCTCACACACCCCAGCTCAGTCTCCGCTGGGAGCCCACAACCTGCCCCGTGTCCCAGGGCTCTCAGGGGAACACTGGGGCAGGGGCGAGGCTAATGCACTGTTCAGCTGGCCCCAGCCACCATGGCACCTGGCGACTGGCATGAGTATGGCAAGACTCCCCTCCCTGAGCCTGGGGCACCCTGCAGACATGGGCAGCAGGTGCTTTGCACCCTCCTGGGCCAGGCCAGGCTCAGCAGTGGGGGGACGGGAGGGGCTTCCACGCAGGCCGCAGCCCTGCTGGGTTGGTGCCCAGTTCAGCTGTTGCCACCACACCCCAGCCGGCTCCCCATACGAGCGCATCCCACCAGCCTGGCACTGATAACAAAGGGAGCGGCGGGGGGCTGAACCCTTCAGTTAATTCTCATGCAGCCTGGGGACCCTGGGAGCTCCTGGTGCGCAGAGCAGTGGGGCAGGGGCTGCCGTGCTGGGACTCCAGCCCAGAGCGACGCCCTCCCAGCAGCCCCAGAGGCCTTTGTTCCAGCCACCACCCGGCTGGACGTGGTCTCTTCCCTGGGGCTCGGCCTGCTGTCTCCCCAGTGTGCCTGGCCCAGGATTCCCGGCCTCCGGTCCCCAGGAGCGGGCGCCGTTCGTTGCCCCTAAGCGAGCGGAAATTGGGCACGAGTGCGTCTCGCCGCAGGAAGCAGCGGGCACAACATCCTGATCGCTCCCTGCAGCACGAGGAGTCAACCCCCCACCCCCCAACCGCTCCTAACTGGACCCCGCAGCCAGGGCAGCTGAGGGAGAGCCCAGCCCCCACTCTGCAGTCCCACACTGTGGGGCTCGTCCCCAGGGTGCCCCGTGCTACGCTGGGGCAGATGAGACAGGCTGTGCCTGGAGCAACTTCTCCTCCTGCAGGAAATGCGCCACCTGCTTCCATGGCTTGTGCTCCCAAAGCCAGAGGGGCAGCAAGCGAGCGAGCTCCTGGGGATGGGGCAGGGAGCAGGCTGGGGGCTAGGTGCCTGAAAGGAGCCCCCCAGGCCCTGCTTCCCTCAGTGCCCAGGGCAGGGCCTGCCAGGAAATGCAGGAACCAGCGAGCTCCCAGCTCTGTGCTCAGCCGGACTCCCAGGTGGGTCCTCGAACTATCGCTCAGATCAGACAGTGCCAGGGGATGGGCACCGGGCTGTGCAGACAGCACTCTGGGCTCACAGGTGCCACCTAATGGCGTCTGGGCCCAGCCACGGGGGTGAGGGCAGGTGTGTCCCCATCAGAATGGCCTTGGTTCATCTTGACTCTTCTTTATGCACATCCCAGCTCAGCCTAATGGACCGTCCCTGCTCGAGAGACCCAGAACAGGAATGGCTGGGGGGGGGAGGGGAGGTTGGGGTAGGGGGGCCACAGCAGAGCTGGTGTCTAGGTTGCCCGGGGGGGGGTAGCAGGGGCTGCGGGTCGGGGTAGAGGGGCACAGCAGAGCTTGTGTCTAGGTTGCCCGGGAGGGTAGGCAGGGGCTGCGGGTCGGGGTAGAGGGGCACAGCAGAGCTGGTGTCTAGGTTGCCCGGGGGGGAAGCAGGGGCTGCGGGTCGGGGTAGAGGGGCACAGCAGAGCTGGTGTCTAGATTGCCCGGGGGGGGGGTAGCAGGGGCTGCGGGTCGGGGTAGAGGGGCACAGCAGAGCTGTTGCAGGAACCTTGCCCAGGACCGGGCCTGGCTACAGCCAGGGGCAGTTTGTCTCCCGCTCACAAGCTCATGGGGAGCAAGAGCTCCCCCAGGCGCCGCTTCCTGAGGGGGGGGGAGCTGAGCTGAGCTGGCTGCACAGCCCCCACTAGGGTTCTTGCGGTGGAAGGACTGTGCACTGGGCTGGGCGCTGGAGACCTGGGGTCAGTTCCCATCTCTGCCACAGACTCCCCGTGTGACCTTGGCTGAGTCCCTTCATCCCTCTGGGCCTCAGGCCCCAGCTGTAGCATGGGGATGATTGTTCCCTTCTTCGCAGGGAGGCTGGGGGGACACAATCCACCAGGGACTGAGAGGCTCAGATGCTGGGGTGGGGCAGCTGGGCATATCATGTGGGCATATCGTCTGGGCTGCATTGGCCCCTGCTGGGTGCTCAGTGCCACAGGCACAGACAGACAGGAGCCCAGGGTGACGTGCTCAGGGTCGGAAGGTGGGAAGGTCTGTGCTCCTATCCCCGCTGAGGGCGGGCAGCAGCCAGTGTGGACCGGGATAAGCGGCGGCTGGCCAGTGAAATGCCAGGTCCCGGGCCAGGCTCCAGGCAGCGAGGGCACCAGGCTCCAACTCAGAAATAGCCTCCGCCACAAGAACCCAGCTGCAGCCGTCTGTCCCGGGCAGACTGTGCTGCTAAAGATAGCCAGGGTGGTACCAGCTCCGGCCTCAGCCCTGGGGAATCCAGGGCTGCTTTCAGAACGCCAGCAGCCTGCTAAATACCGAGAGCTCCCCCAGGCCGGTGGCTGCCCGTGCTATGCATAGGGCACGTCACCAGCTCAGCACCCAGTGACCCGGATCTGTGCAGAGCCACCAGGGCCCAGGTCAGGGAGATCTGTCTCCTCTTGGCTAGCAGGAAATCAGCAGGTAGCAAGCGACTCGCTCTGAGCAAGAAACCGCAGTGTGCTCGGCTTCCGACTGTCTGCAGAGCACTGAAATGCTGGGGGGGCCTCCCTGCAACCGGTTCCCCCCGCCGGGCACTGGGCAGCTACAACCAAACTGCACTTCAGCGGCGTGAAAGCCAGGCACCGGGGCAAGGTCTCAGGGGGATGGGGGTGCAGGGCTCTCTGCTCGGGGGGGGGGGGTTACAGGCTCTCTGCCCGGGGGGGAGGGGGGGGTTACAGGCTCTCTGCCCAGGGGGGCGGGGGGCAGGGCTCTCTGCCCCGGTGTGTGGCTGTGGTGTGTGCAACAAGAGAGATTCTTCCTTCACCAGAAGCTGCTGTATCCGCCCCCCCCATTCCCCCGGCTCCCCAGCCCGACCTGGGCACTTTGGGCTGGTGCCAGAAGCCCCAGGGCCAGCGATGCCAGGAAAGGCCCTTCCCGTGCCCCCATGGGGTTATTTGATGCCCCAGAGGGGAGGGAGATCTCAGTGGCATCCCCCCACCCCCCAGTCCGTGCTGTGGCCGGCTCCCTGCCACAAGCCTGGCCCAGGGTCAGCCGAGGACGCTGGCGGTGCCAGCAAGGCGGCCTCCCCACCCCAGCCCCAGGCGGCAGAGTGAGAGACAACCCCCGAGGGCACGGCAGCATCTGGTGACTCCACCACCACCCCCATCCCCGGCTCTCAGCCAAGTGCTGCTCCCACAACCCACCCAGCCCCGGGCTTGGCCCCTGCCTCAGTGGCCCTGAGCTGTGACGTTCATGGGGGCAGGTCTGTTCACCCCTCCCTGGCCTTCCTCCGGGCACCGCAGTGCGGCCCCAAGTGAGCCTCCACGCATCACCCCCTGGGCGCTTGGAGCCCACTACCAACTCCCACGGCCCACTCACAGCCTCCACGCCGGGCACAGCCGAGGGGAGAGGCCCCAAAACAGTGCTTGGGCTACGCTTCCCCAGACGGAGACACACACAGCGACACCCGAGCCACTCACACACAGTAACACCCATGCCATTGACACACAGTAACACACACAGCAACCCCTGAGCCACTCACACACAGTAACACACACGCATCACCCCCCGGGTGCTTGGAGCCCACTACCAACTCCCACCGCCCACTCACAGCCTCCACCGCGGGCACAGCCAAGGGGAGAGGCCCCAAAACAGTGCTTGGGCTACGCTTCCCCAGACACACGAGCCACTCACACACAGTAACACACACACAACGACACCTCCCCCCAACTTATTCACACACTGCTCAACAAAGTCCTGCCCAAGCTGAGTGGTCAGGCACACACACATTCACGCACTGACACACGTACAAGGTGACACACACACACAATGGCACACACACATTCACGCATCGACACACATACAAGGTGACACACACACACAATGGCGCACACACATTCACGCATCGACACACATACAAGGTGACACACACAAATGGCACACACACATTCACGCACCGACACACGTACAAGGTGACACACACACACAATGGCACACACACATTCTCTCACTGACACACGTACAAAGTGACACACACACATTCTCGCACCGACACACATACAACGTGACACACACACACAATGGCACACACACATTCTCGCACCGACACACATACAAAGTGACACACACACATTCACACACCGACACACGTACAAGGTGACACACACACACAATGGCACACACACATTCTCGCACCAACACACGTACAAAGTGACACACGTACAAAGTGACACACACACATTCTCGCACCGACACAGGTACAAGGTGACACACACATTCTCGCACCGACACACGTACAAAGTGACACACGTACAAGGTGACACACACACATTCTCGCACCGACACAGGTACAAGGTGACACACACACATTCTCGCACCGACACACGTACAAAGTGACACACGTACAAAGTGACACACACACATTCTCGCACCGACACACGTACAAAGTGACACACGTACAAAGTGACACACACACATTCTCGCACCGACACACATACAAGGTGACACACACACACAATGGCACACACACATTCTCGCACCGACACACGTACAAGGTGACACACACTCCGCACCTGCCAGACTCGGCCCCTCTCGCGGCTGCGGGCGGTGAGGGGTGCGGGGGTCTCTAGTCTGGGGGCACAGGGACCCCCGGGCTCACCTGCCCAGCTCCCGGCCCAGCAGGGTGTAGTTGTCGGCGAACCGGTCGGTGCGGATGCGGGTCTGGGTCGGGGCGTCCATGCCCGGGCGGCTCATGCTGCCCAGGGGCCCGACGGGGCGCCCGGGGGACGCTGCCCGGAGCCCGGCGGGGGCTGGTGCCGAGACCCCGGGTCCCGGTGCCGGCTCGGTCCCAGGCGAGGGGGGACGCGGCTCTGGACGGGTCGGTCCGGGCTCCGGGGGCAGCTCTGTGCGCCGGGCCGGCGGTTTGCAGCGAAGTCTGGCTCGGCAGGGCCGGGACGGGGGGGCCGCTCAGCCCCGTGCCACGGGCGGCGCCTCCTCCTCTCGGGGGCGGCTCCAGGCCCGGTCCCTCCCCCTGCCTCGGCGGCGGCGGCTCGCTGGGGATGGGGGGGTCCGTGCTGCAGACCGCGCCTGGGACGGGACGAGCCCCCACGAGAGACCCCCCCAGCCACGGGGGGGGCTGGGACACACCTGGGGACCTCGGTGGGCATCCAGGTGAGGTCTCCTTGGGGAGAGGCAGCTTTGTGTCCCCTCCTTGGGCACAGGCCAGCCGCAAAAGCACCACCTCTACCCGCCACCCGCTGCCCACTCCCACCCCTGCCCCCAGCTCACTCCCCAACCTGGGACCGGGCATCTGCCTCCGTACAAAACAGAAACCGGCCTGAAGGCCGGCAGGCAGGGGCAGCCCTACAGTAACAACCCCTTGTTTGTTAGGTGTATCGCAGTCGACCCTACAATAACAAACCCTTGTTGTTTAGTATGTGCTATGGAAAGGGGCCCAGGCCCCACTAGGAGTCAGGCAGTGCACAGTTCCTGGGATGCTCGCGGTCTAGCATGCTAGAGGAATGACAAAGCCAGAGCTAAGAGAGGAAGTCTGGTGCCCTCAGCAGCGTCCAAACAGACCGTGAACAAGCACCAGCACCCTCTTCACCGTCTCTTCCACGACAAGCTACAGAGACTCCCTCTCTCATGCGCTTGAATGGCGCTTGGGGACAGGGAGCGGGTGGGTGCACCGGTGGGGCCAGGTTTGCATTGGGGTCTCCCCCATCCCCACCCCCTGCAGCACTGCCCGTGTGTTTCTGGCTCTGGGATCCTGGTGCAAGTGTGCAAAGCCGTGGCAGGCTGCGTGGGTCTGGAGCAGGCCCCAATGGGGCAGCTGCCACTGCATTTCAACCCAGTCTGGCCACCCGCCCTACGCCCAGGGTGAATTTCACCCCATGTGCTCAGAATTCCTCCCCGGTTACGAATCCATAAGGGAACCGGCACCTGACCCCACACTTGGGAATCCCTGTAGATCACGGTTAATTACAGGACGTGGGACGTCATCCAATTATATGTATAAAGCTCTGTCACTGTCAGAGCTGTGAGGGAGAAGGATGCTTTTGAGCTGTGGTGTAACAGAGGAAATGACTCTGAGTGGGGGCTGGGTGGGTGGAGCAGCACCAGTGAGAGAGACACCCTCACGCTCTGCGATCGACCAACGCTGCAAACACAGGCACCGGGCCGCAGAGCTTTGCGGGACCCGCATCCAGCACAGGGATCTCTGGGCTCTTTCAGGCCTGGTGATGAGGCGAACGTGCGATTGGAGAAGCCTCAGAAAAGAGCTAGGACATGATGGAAGGGTTTCGGAGGAAACGTCTACAGCGAGAGACTCGAAGAGCTCAAGCTGCTTAGCGTCTCAGGGCGAAGACTCAGTGGGGACTTGAGCACAGCATGTTTCACAGGGAGAAAATACCCAGTGCTAACGGGCTCTTTAATCGAACAGGGACCAGCGCTGGAAGCTGAAGCCAGACAAATTCCAGTTAGAAATAAGGCCGCAGTTCGTAACAGGGCAGGTGATTAACCACTGGAACAAGCTCCCCAGGGCAGTGGTGGGTTCCCCATCTCTTGGGGGCTGCAGGTCCTGCCTGGCGCCTTTCTGGGCGATGCTTTAGTCAGACCCCAGCTCTTGGGCTCAGGATGGGGGAACCGGGGGAAATTCTCTGGCCTGTGCCATGCAGGAGGCCAGACCAGACAATCTAACGGTCCCTCCTGCCTTAAACTCCAGGAATGGATGAACCTCAGTGCTGCAGATGGGACCCAGCTCCGGCCAGGCCCTGAATCGCTTTGCTCTGATGTCATTCTGCAAGGCAGGGTCTCAGCCACCTAGCGTGATGTCATTGTGGCTTCAGCCAATCAGCCGCAGACGTTACCCCATTCGGAGCGGCCCTGGTCAGGCCCAGCTGGGATCCACCTGGCCTTCCTGCTTCTTAGAAGCCTGTGCAGTAACTACCCAATTCTCAGGGATGGTGATAGGGCATCTCGTGGGCCCGTCAGTCTGGTGCCCAGGGTGAGAGCGCTGCATGCCAGCCCTGTGCCCTCCTCCGGTCCCAGCCAAGCGTTGCTGGGAGGGAAGCCCGGACAGGTGTGTACAGGGTCAGCACTGCCCCCAGGCTGCAAAGGGGAACTGGCCAGTGCAGAGCGAGGCCCCGCAGGAGGATCTGGTAGGGTCCAGAGAGGCCACACCGAGCACCAGTGGGCAAGGCAAGGGGCAGAGTTTAGTCCGGCTCCTCTTTGGCGCATCCTCCACCACAGTCCCACCAGCTGCTGCCCCCCGTTCTCCAGGCCCCACCCGTTTGCTTCCCTGAGTCAAGTTATCAGAGCAAAGTGCAGCCACGTGGTCTAACTGTCCCCAGCAAGGCTCTGCCCAGCTCCGGGCACAGCGCACAGACTGGGGTCAGACTGGGCCCCCTGCGACCTGGCCAGGCATGCACCGAGTGCTGCTTAGCCCCTCAGCAAAGCCGGTTGGGCCTGGCTGGGGCTGCCTGCTGGAGGGAAGTTACCATCTGAGCTTCTGCCTCCAGCCCCAGACCTGCCAGGGGATGCTTGGCAGGGATCAGAGGGGCCGGTTCTCAGGCTGTGACCGGCTGCGATGCCTTGGAGAGGAGCAAGGAGCCAACCAGAGGTGCAGGCGGAGAATCACCCTGGCATCTCTAGGACAGCTGTCTCCCCAGGGGCTTTGCTACCATGCACAGCACCCACCTCCTCCGTCAGTGAAACGCTCCCACCGCTGCCAAGGGGCAGGACGCTGTGAAGTGGGGCTCCAGCGAGGACGGATCATGGGAGAGGAATTGTGCTGGTGCCTGATGGATGGCCCCGGAGACGGGAACGTTGTCCCCCCCAGTAGGGAGGGCACAAGCCTTGCCCCACCACGCTATGGGCCACGTCTCAGCCCCACAGGGCCCTGCCTATCACCAGCTCCCTACCAGCCTGCTTCCAAGGGCAAATCTTGATCAGTGACTGACAGCGGTGTGTGCAGCTTAGGGGTCTGCCACCCCCCAGCTCCGCTGGTTGTCCCTCAATCCCAACCCGCAGACCCACGCTGCCCCAGCCCAGAGCTGCCCGTCAGGCTGAGCTGTGGGGTGGTTTTGTGAGGTGGACAGGGATCCACCAGGAACCAGTGGAGCCGGATCAACCCATTTCAGGGACACTCTGGGTTTACATTGAGCTTCGTATGGACTTTGTCCTCATGCATCCTCGGGGAGGGGCCCAGCCCGCGTGTTGGGCCAGCAGCAGAGCTGTCTCAGGGGTGGGGATAAACACTGAGCAGCCAGCGGGGGCCAGGACGCCATGGTGATGGGCAGGAGCATTAGGGACAGCCCTCAGCCTTGGGATCACTACCCCAGTGTCTCCAGGTGCCCCCTGCAGGCTGGGTTGCCGGGCCGGTGGCACCGTGCCCCGCACGCTTACTGGCATCGCTGCTCAGTACAATTCTCCTGCAGTTTTGTGGTGAGTGGCTGCTGCAGACGGAGCTGCCTGTCTGGACTTGTTTGCGACTGGGGAAGGGAACAATACAGCCCCGCGGGCTTGTTTCACATATGGCGCAGTGCTCCAGCCCCCCCTTTCCCACTGGCATGTGGCGCTGGGCCATGCAGGGAACTGGCTGCCAGGCTGGGAGGCCCAGCTCCCATTGGATCTGAGCGCCCATCAAGAGACACCAAGCCCATCCCAGCTGGGGACCCGTCCGTCCCGCCCAGCTGGGGACCCGTCCCCCCCGCCCAGCTGGTAGGAGGCGCAGCCATGGAGAGGACAGTCCCTGTGCAGCAGGGAGAGCGAAGGGACCCAGAGTCATGGTCCTGTCCAACCGCGAAGGAAAAAGGGGCAGTCTCTGCCCTGGACTAGCCGCGGAGCCTCGGAGGGCAGCCGTGGGGCGGAGTCATGACCTGGGGGCTGGCCGGGGGATAAAGCTCCATAACGAATCTGGCTCTGTGAGGTCAGCGCCAAATGGGGAAACAAACGCTCCCTAGTCCCCTAGAAACACCCCAGCTTGGGCCGACAGAGAGCCAGGCAAGGGGCCTGCGCTGGGGCCAGGGAGCCGGGGGCTGGGCTCTGCTCTGGGTCACTTAGAAGGGTGAGGATCTGGTAACCGGGGCCCAGCACCACCGTGGGGTTCCTCGGCTCTGCTGGGGGTGATTAGGCAGTGGGTTTAATGACGGTTAATTGGGGGCTGGAGGAGTTTAGCGCTGATCTCCGACAGGGCTCGTTAAAGGGTTTATTACATGCTGCTTGACGACTTCATTGACTTGGGGTAAGCGATGCACTGAGGGGTCCCCTGCCGTGGCCGGAACATGGGCCCTCAGGAGGGTCGGCCCCAGGCTGTGCTCATGCGGGGTCGCTCCCTCTGCCACGTAGTGCAGCCACGTCGCATGTAGCCACCCCTTGGAGCCCGTCCTGGCCCACCTGTGAGCAATGACCTGGCTAGGGGGCCGCTTGGCAGCTCATTGGCTAACGAGGACTTGGGGCTGGCAAAGGCTGCCAGGTGGCGGCCGGAGGAGGGGCTCCGGGGACATTAGCAGGAGCTGCTGGCTGGTGAAGAGAAGTGAGTACGAAGGGGTTGGGGGGACAAGCTGCTTGAGGGCTAGAGAGAGCCTGATGCGTAACCCAGCTCCAGGGGGAGGCAGGATTCAAGGCCTGCATGTGGGAGGTGTCACTTGCTGGCGTTAGCCCCCAGCCAGAAGAAGGGCTGGATATTGAGGGGCTAATGGGGGGTTGTACCCTGAAAAAGGCTTTAACTAAGGAAATCCCACCAAGGAGACCTTGGCTCTGAGTATTGGACTGGCAGGGAGCTGAGGGTTGGCACCGGCAGGGCCACCAGGGCGTGTGCTGGAGGTTGATGGCCCATCACAAGCTGCCTCTGGGGTGGAACCCAGCATCAACAACATAGCTCAGTGCAGCGTGACGGCCGGGCAGTGGTGTGGCACAGTGTGAAGGCATTGCAGTGGCATGGCATGACGGCTGGGCAGAGGCGCGGCGTGAAGGCACCTCAGTGTGGGGTGACAGCC